ATGGTGTTTAAAAATAAAGTTTATGCAATTTATTCTACTACAGTACTCCAAACTTTACTGATTCCAGAGCCACCACAGTAAGAGAAATGTGTGGGGTTTTTTGTTTAGTTGGTTTTTTTGTTTGATTGGTTTTTGTTTGCTTGTTTGTTTTGGGGGGGGTTTGTTTGTTTGTTTCTGGGGTTTTTTTAGGCATATAAACTAAATGTGAAGGTTTTTATAGCTCTAATGATAGCAAAGATTTAAGTAAACCTTTATACAACAACAGTAGTATGGATTGGTGGCCACATTTTATTGGCACAAAACAAGGCAAATAATTTCTTAGGAAGGCCATGTACAGTATTGCATTGATTCAGTCTGGGAGTATCCATTACCCTGTCTTAACTGGGGACAATAAAAGAAAATGGTGAGGTTATTAATCATGTCAAAGTGAATCAATGCTGTCTCCATGACACAAAGTACATATAAAAGTTCATATTGTAATATTTATGTATATTCATATGCACTGTTCTGAACTCTTCTTGGGGAACCAGTCCACTGAAGGAGTGTGAGTTAAAGGAACAGATTTTCAGTTCTGTTCTACTTGTTCCTACTTGCTGACTTGCATTAACTACCAAAAGAGGAAAACTTAAAGTAATGGACTGAGCCATTGCTGCCTGCCAATTATTACAGAGAGTTATATCTAATGGTTCCCCCTTGCAAGTCAGCTGAAGATACTGTCTTCCAGCTAAAAGGCTGGTAAAGGTTCATACAATCATTGCAACATTTAGAACAAGAGACAACTATGACGCTCAAGTGCCTGTTTGATGTAATTAGTGATCCAGTAAAAGTGCCCCTGGTGCATCCTCCTTTTCTGCAGAACAGACTCTCCAAACTTTGATAACCTCCTCTGAAATTGTCAGTATTTATTTAGGAAAGAAGAGAAGGTAAAGGCACAGTCAAGCTTTCTATATTAAACCTGTCACGAAAAAGTATTGTTATTAATGCCTTTGGAATCTCAAAAGCAAGGGATAATACGTTAAATTACTTCTGTGTCACTTGAAGTAGCTACTGTTCACCTCAAGATAGATTAGGAAATTAATCTATTGATAAAGTAAAATCCACAGGATGAGAGGGCAGTGCTGCAATGTTAAATTACCATGCAAAGAATATGGTAAATGTAATCTATAAACAAATTAAACTGGTAATATAGAAGGTGGAGTTTTTTGACCGCATAAAATATTTTTACCAGTGTACAGAAAATACAGAAAAAGAATGTGTAATGTGAAATAGAGAAGAACAAAGTTCCTAAGAAGTGTGGTTTATGAGAAAACTTTTTACTTGGCATACAAAATGAATTAGAGGAAGTATGGTATGCATGGTATATTTTCCTTTCACTCAGAAAAAGCAGTGTCACACCTTGTTCACCTAGGAATGGAATCATTCTGATATTAACAGGGGAATAAAGCATAAAGATGTGATTATTTGGTAGACTGGACTGCGTGCAGACTGTATGTTTTTGATATGGGGCATTTAGTTAAGGTAGCTGCAAAGACAGGAAATAACAGTCTAACCAACAGTAATGATGAAAACGTAGAAATTATGCAAGTGGAAATGAGTCCATTTGTCCAACAGGATGTCTAAAAATAGTTTGCAAACTAGATGAAATGGACTGTAAATTCGAGTTTTATTAAATGGTTCTTTCAGTCTACATATGTCATGATATTATCTTCATCACTCAATGGTCATCTTTTCCTACCAAACAGCTGAGTTTGTGAATTTAAAAGGTTTCACTATCAGGTTTTGCATGTTCCTGTGCCTACTTTGATTTTAGCAATTGAAAAGGTCACATCTCATTTGTTTTTTGTTGTGCTGGTATATAAAATTTAAGTAACAACTTTGATGTGGTGATTCAGAGGGATTACTCTGATGAAGGAACAGGTGCCTAACAAATTGTTCCTACATCAGAGTGAGCTGGCAAGATAAAGCACAAGCTTTTTTAAACTGATAACTGGATATTGGACTTATATTGGAAGGACTGGGTTTTAACCATGGCTATGTGTGTGGCTGTGTGTGGCAGAGAGAAGCTTTGGGTTTTTTTTTCATTTTCACAGTCCTCTTACACACAGTTATAAATAACATAATGTTTTGCTTTTCACTGTACTCTTTTCTCTTTCC